GGTTAACTAGCCTAAATACAGCTGACTTCCACCATGTCAGCATTCTCAGAAGAGATGGCACCAAATATGCCACCACACCCAGAATCAGCTGGACACAGCCAATGAAAGAGCCTAAGTCAGGAATTCAGTGGAGAGGTTGTGACTCACCCCAGGATCCTGGAGAAAAAACTGACATGAAGATCAAAGGAGGAAACTCAAGTAAAGAATGAGGTCAACCCAATTAAAAAATGGGCAAAAGACCTGAACAGGCATTTCTCCAAAGAAGATATACAGATGGCCAACAGACACATGAAAAGATGTTTAAAATCACTAACTATCAGGGAAATGCAAATCAAAACTACAATGAGATATCACCTCACACCCGTCAGAATGGCTATAATTAACAAGACAGGAAACAATATGTGTTGGAGAGGATGTGGAGAAAAGGGAACTCTCATACACTGCTGGTGGGAGTGCAAACTGGTGCAGCCACTATGGAAAACAGTATGGAGATTCCTCAAAAAATCAAGGATAGAACTACCATATGATCCAGCTATTCCACTGCTGGGTATTTATCCAAAGAACTTGAAAACACCAATTTGCAAAGGTACACGCACCCCTGTGTTCATTGCAGCGTTATTCACAATAGCCAAGACTTGGAAGCAACCTAAGTGCCCATCAAGGGACGAATGGATAAAGAAGATGTGGTATATATACACAATGGAATACTCCTCAGCCATAAGAAACGATGAAATCCAGCCATTTGTGACAACAGGGATGGACATTGAGGGTATTATGCAAAGTGAAATAAGTCAGAGGGAGAAGGTCAAATACCGTATGATTTCCTTCATTAAGTAGTAGATAATAACAACAATAAACACAGGGACAGAGATTGGATTGGTGGTTACCAGAGGGGAAGGCGGGAGGGAGGAGGGTGAAAGGGATAATTCGGTACATGTGTGTGGTGATGGGTTGTAATTAGTATTTTGGTGGTGAACATGATGTAGTCCATGCAGAAATAGAAGTACAATGATGTACACCTGAAATTTTTACAATGTTATAAACCAATGTTACTGCAATAAACAAAAAATTAAAAAAAAAAAAAAAAAAGAATGAGGTCATAACTTGTTCAGGGTTCTGCTGGTGATAGCACTAGGAAGATGAGAGTTTCCTGATGTTCTTGAAGGATGTGTGTTGTTAAGAATCTCCAATTCCAGAACATTGCTAATTGAAAGGTTGATGCTAGGTAGTTTGTTAGGCTCATGCACAGGCTAAATGACTAGCCTTCACATTCAACTTAATACCTATATTTATACTAGATATTTTTAATAATAACAGCAGTAAACATTTTTTGGGTATTTACTTTGTGCTTGGCCTATTCTAAACAGTTTTGCACATGTTAATTCATTTAATACTCACAACAACCCTATGAGGTAGATGAGGAAACAAGTTCAGAGAGGTTGAATAATGCAGAGATCATGGCTAGACAAAGGAACTGGAATTTGAATCTGAGGAGTCTGGATCTAGTGTCGTTGCTCTTGACTGCTATGCTATATCAAAACCATTATGCTGTATTAGGAAAACACTATCAAGTAGGTGTTTTCTCATCCCTTTTATAAATTATTTCTTTAAGGTCATGCTTGAAGAGGAAAAAATGTGAAAATCAAATATTAGTATTTAGTCAGGTCTCTCTTATCTAGCTCAAATGGCTTGATGGGTTTGATGGGTCTTCCTTTTAGTCTTTTGAATTTGTAGTGCCATATCTCAGAAATTAGACCAGTAATCTCTTTCTGGGTCTTAACTAGAGCCTTCTTGAAGTTTGTGTTATAATTAAAAGTAAATTATAATCTTAAATTTTCCTTACAACTATGTCTTATGGAAAATAAGAAAAAAAGCCAGTCTGTAACCTAGTAGTTGGAGAAACAAGACATACATGCATGAAATGATAGCACGTACTATACCATAATTCAAACTGTATGGAGCACTTATATTCCACATGCTGTATCTGACACCAAGGATAAAACAATAATGAATAAAATACTATCCCTGAAGAAACCCTAAAACTATCAGAGGAGACTGACACAAATAGCTATAATACAATATAATGAATACTCCAATAAAGATTTTTATAAAGTGGGAACCAGGGTAAGAAAATAATTGTTTCTGCTTCTAAGGAGAGATCAAAGATGGCTTCATTGCAGAAGTCATTTAAATTGTTGGCTACCAGAGAATACTTAGAGCTAAATTTGTGGCTCACTTTCAAAAAAGATATATGATTTCTTGATAGGCATGTTGTGTATCATCTTCACTTCTGGCTTTGTCTTAGGTTGCTGTCCTTTGTACTGGTTACTCTCCTATTTTTAATTGTATTTAATGTTGTATTGTTTGTATCTTTATATGGCACCTTAAATCCTTAAACTAGCTAACAAACACAAAACAGAGAAACCAATATTAGTTTCATTCATTCTACAAGTATTTATTGAACTCCTTTTTTTTTTTTTTTTTTTTGGGGAAGATTCACCCTGAGCTAATATCTGTGCCAATCTTCCTCTATTTTTTATGTGCATCGGCACCATAGCATGGCTGCTGACAACTGGTGTAGGTATGCACCCAGGAACTGAACCTGTGCCACCGAAACAGAGTGCAGCGAGCTTAACCACTAGTCCATGGGGCTGGTCCCATTACTGAACCCCTTCTTAAGGCATAGTACTAAGTCCTATGGAATATACAAAGATAAATAATACATATCTCTGTCCCCAGGAGATTGAATTTGTTAATGAAGAAAATACTTGATGTAAGAAAAGGTTAGGGAGTGACGTCAGCATTATGGGGGAGTGAGCTGTTCCCTTTGTCTCTCACCCCTTAAGTTACAACTAAATGGACATTCAGTAACCAACAGAGGATTCCCACATAGCCCAACAGGATGCCTGAGAGATGTACACAGGTATACATCTGAAGGTGGGTGGACTGGATCCCTGGGAAGCAGTGGAACTAGGTGACCGCACCCCTACTGCTCTCCAGCAGCAGTGAGCCAGGTCATGGAGCCTCACACAGCAGCTGAGAGTGACTGTAACAGGAGGTGAGGGGGCAGCCCGGCATCATAGCTTGGAGTGGTAGCCCAGCCCACAAGAGCACTCACTGTGCCACGGCGGCCCCCACCGTGGGAACGCCGCCCACTGAGTGGCAGGGGCTCAGCCCCCACAAAGGAGCCCCATCCACCAAGCCGGCACGACTGTAAGAGGAGGCAGGGGCAGCCCAGTGTGCACACAAAGGCCTTTGGAGGGGTAGCCCGGCTTGTGGGAATGCCCATTGTGCCACAGCGGCCCCGCCCATGGGAACACTCCCCACTGAGTGGCAGCAGCTTAGCCCCTGCAAAGGTGCCCCATGTACCAAGCGCAGTGGCTCAGCCAAACCACCTGCCTGCTGAGCACAGAGGCCCCGCCTCTGTGGGGTCACGAGAGTGACCTGCCAAGTGGCTGTGGCCAGCCTGTGCAAATGCAGGGCAGCCATACCTGCACAACTTCCAGCAGACAGGCTGGGATCAGAAACACAGCTCCTGCTTGCCCCAGCAGTGGCAGGCGGAATCTGAGACCTGATATTACCACAGATGCACTGGCAAAGGATCAGTTCATCAAGCACCATGAAAAACTACAGTAACACTTCAGAGCAGAAGGAAAATGACAAGTCTCCAGAAACCAATCCTGAAGTCACAGAAATTTATAATCTAAGTGACAGAGAATTCAAAATAGTGGTCATGAAGAAACTCAATGAGTTACAGGAAAGCTCAGAAAGACAGTTTAGTGAGCTCAGGAATAAAATTAATGAGCAGAAGGAATATTTCACCAAAAAGATTGAAGGCTTAAAAAAAACTACAGAAATTCTAGATATGAAGATACAATTAATGAGATAAAAAATAATCTAGAAACCATAAAAAAAAATAGAGCTGATGTTATCGAGGACAGAATTAGTGAATTAGAGGACAGGAATCTAGAAATGCTTTAGGCAGAGGAGGAGAGAGATCTAAGATTTTAAAAAATTAAAGAAATTCTTCGAGAAATATCCAACTCAGTTATAGGTATTCCAGAGGAAGAAAAGAGGGAGAAAGGAACAGAGAGCTTGTTTAAAAAGAGATAATAGCTGAGAACTTCCCAAACCTGGGGAAGGAACTGGACTTACAAGCGCATGAAGCCAACGGAACTCCTAATTACATCAGTGCAAAAAGACCTTTTCCAAGGCATAAAATAGTAAAACTGTTAAAAGTCAATGACAAAGAGAAATATTAAGGGCAGCAAGGCAGGAGAAAATAACCTACAAAGGAACTCCTGTCAGGCTTTCAGTGGATTTCTCAGCAGAAACCTTACAGGCTAGGAGAGAATGGAATGATATATTCAAAATACTGAAAGACAAAAACTTTCAGCCAAGAATACTCTATCCAGCGAAACTATCCTTCAGATATGATGGAGAAATAAAACTTTCCCAGATAAACAAAAGCTGAGGGAGTTCATCGCCACTAGATCTCCCTTACAAGAAGTGATGAAGGAAGCCCTCCTACCTGAAACAAAAAGGCAAAGGTTTACAAAGCTTTGAGCTAGGAGATAAATAGACAAACCAAATCAGAAAATTGCAGCTCTCTGTCAGAACAGGTTAGCAAAGACTTAAATATAACATAAAAGATAAAGGGAAGGAAAGCATCAAAAATAACTATAAACACTTCAATTTAGTCACAAACTCACAACACAAAAAAGAATAATTTGTGACAACAATAACTCAGAAGGGTAAGAGGAATGGGATTGAACTTGCTTAGGGACTGGAGATAAGAGGACATCAGAAAATGGACTATCTCATCTATGAGATCTTTTATACAAACCTCATGGTAACCACCAAACAAAAAATCAGAGCAGAGCCACAAATCATAAATAAAGAGAAAACTGAGAAAACTGTCACAGAAAACCACCAAACTGAAATGCAGCCAGATATACAATAGAAAAGAAACAATGGAAATATAGAACAACCAGAAAACAGATTAAAATGGCAGTATTCAGCCCTCATATATCAATAATCACCCTAAATGTTTTTTTTTGCTGAGGAAGATTCACCCTGAGCTAACATCTGTTGCCCATCTTCCTCTTTTTGCTTGAGGAAGATTCACCCTGAGCTAACATCTGTGTCAGTCTTCCTCTATTTTGTATGTGGGTTGTCGCCACAGCATGGCCACTGATGAGTGGTGTAGGTCCACGCCAGGGAACTGAACCCTGGCTGTTGAAGCGGAATGTGCTGAAGTTAACCGCTAGGCCACAGGCCCGACCCCAATAATCACTCTAAAGGTTAATGGATTGAATTCTCCAATCAAAAGACACAGAGTGGGGGCCGGCCCCATGGCTTAGTGGTTAAGTGCGCACGCTCTGCTACTGGCAGCCCGGGTTCGGATCCTGGGTGGGCACCGATGCACTGCTTGTCTGGCCATGCTGAGGCGGCATCCCACATACAGCAACTAGAAGGATGTGCAGCTGTGACATACAACTATCTACTGGGGCTTTGGGGAGAAGAAGGGGGAAAAAAAAGGAGGATTGGCAATAGATGTTAGCTCAGGGCCGGTGTTCCTCAGCAAAAAGAGGAGGATTGGCATGGATGTTAGCTCAGGGCTGATCTTCCTCACAAAAAAAAAAAACCACAAAAAACAAAAAACAAACAAGCAAAAAGACACAGAGTGGCTAGATGGATTAAAAAACGAGACCCAACAATATGCTGCCTCCAGGAAACACATCTCAACTCTAAAGAGAAACACAGGTTCAGAGTGAAGGGATGGAAGATGATGCTTCAAGCAAATGGCAAGCAAAAGAAAGCAGGTGTTGCCATACTTATATCAGACAAAGCAGACTTCAAAATAAAAAAGGCAGTGAGAGACAAGAGGGCCAGCATACAAGGATAAAAGGGACATTCCACCAAGAGAACATAACACTTATGAATATATATGCACCTAACTCTGGAGCACCAAAGTATATAAAGCAACTATTAACAGACCTAAAGAGAGAAATTAACAGCAACACAATAATAGTAGGGGACCTTAGCACCCCACTTACATCATTGGGTAGATCATCCAGACAGAAAGTCAACCAGGAAATAGTGGACTTAAATGAAAAACTAGAACAGATGGACTTAATAGTTATATATAGAATATTCCATCCCCAAACAGCAGAATACACATGCTTCTCAAGTGCACATGGAACATTCTCAAGATAGACCATATATTGGGAAACAAGGCAAGCCTCAGCAAACTTAGGAAGACTGACATCATATCAAGCATCCCTTCTGACCACAGAGCTATGAAACTAAAAATCAACTATGAGAAAAAAGCTGGGAAAGTCACAAATTTGTGGAGACTAAACTGCATGCTACTGAACAACCATTGGATCAATAAAGAAATCAAAGGAGAAGTCAGAAAATACCTAGAGACATAAGAAAGTGAAAATATAACATACCAGCTCTTCTGGGATGCAGCAAAAGTGGTTCTAAGAGGGAAATTTATAGCAATACTCCAAGCAGTACTCCAATACAGGCCCACCTCAACAAACAAGAAAAATCTCAAATAAGTAATCTTAAACTACACCTAACAGAACTAGAAAAAGAAGAACAAACAAAGCCCAAAGTCAGTAGAAGGAGGGAAATAATAAAAATTAGAGCAGCAATAAATGAAATAGAGATTAAAAAAACAGTAGAAAGGATCAATGAAACTAAGAGCTGCTTCTTTGAGAAGATAAACAAAATCGACAAACCCTTTGCCAGACTCACTAATTAAAAAAAGAGAGAAGGCTCACATAAGTAAAATTAAAAATGAAAGAGGAGAAATTACAATGCATACCACAGAAATACAAAGGATTATAAGAGAATACTATGAAAAACTAAATGCCAACAAGTTGGATAACCTAGAAGAAATGGATAAATTCTTAGACTCATACAACCTCCCAAATTTGAGTCAAGAAGAAATAGAGAATCTGAATAGACCAATCACAAGTAAAAAGATTGAAACAGTAATCAAACTTCCCAAAAAATAAAAGTCCAGGACCAGATGGCTTCTCTGGAGAATTCTACCAAACATTCAAAGAAGATTTAATACATATCCTTCTCAAACTATTCCAAAAAATTGAAGAAGATGGAATGCTTCCTAACTCATTCTGTGAGGCCAGCATCACCCTGATGCCAAAACTGGACAAGGACAACACAAAGAAGGAGAATTACAGGCCAATATCGCTGATAAACATAGATGCAAAAATCCTCAACAAAATATTGGCAAATCAAATACAGCAATACATTAAAAGGATCATACACCATGATCAAGTGGGATTTACACCAGGGATGCAGGGATGGTTCAACATCTGCAAATTAATCAATGTGATACACCACATTAACAAAATGAGGAATAAAAATCACCCAATCATCTCAATAGATGCAGAGAAAGCATTTGACAAGGTCCAACATCTGTTTATGATAAAAACTCTCAATAAAATGGGTATATAAGGAAAGTACCTCAACGTAGTAAAGGCCATATATGACAAACCCACAGCCAACATCATACTTAATGGTGAAAAACTGAAAGCCTTCCCTCTGAGAACAGGAACAAGACAAGGGTGCCCACTCTCTGCCACTCCTATTCAACGTAGTTCTGGAGGTTTTGGCCAGAGCAATTAGGAAAGAAAAAGAAATAAAAGGCATCCAAATTGGAAAGGAAGAAGTGAAAACTCTTGCTGTTTGTGGATGACATGATTCCGTATATAGAAAACCCTAAAGAATCCATCAGAAAACTATTAGAAATAATCAACAGGGAAGTTGCAGGGTGTAAAATCAACTTACAAAAATTAGTTGCATTTCTATACACTGATAATGAACTAACAGAAAGAGAAGTTAAGAATACAATCCCATTTACAATTGCAACAAAAAGAATAAAATATCTAGGAATAAATTTAACCAAGTAAGTGAAAGACCTACACACTGAAAACTATAAGACATTATTGGAAGAAATTGAAGAAGATATAAAGAAATGCAAATATATTCTGTGCTCATGGATTGGAAGAATAAACATAGTTAAAATGTCCATATTATCTAAAACAATCTACAGATTCAGTGCAATCCTAATCAGAATCCCAATGACATTCTTCACAGAAATAGAACAAAGAGTGCTAAAATTTATGTGGAACAACAAAAGACCCTGAATAGCCAAAGCAATCCTGAGAAAAAATAACAAAGCTGGAGGCGTCACAATCCCTGACTTCAAAATATACTACAAAGCTATGGTAATCAAAACAGCATTTTACTGGCACAAAAACAGATATGCAGATCAATGGAACAGAATTGAAAGCCCGGAAATAAAACCACAGTTCCACGGACAGCTCATCTTCAACAAAGGAGCCAAGAAGATACAATGGAGAAAGGAAAGTCTCTTCAATAAATGGTGTTGGGAAAACTGGGCAGCCACATGCAAAAGAATGAAAGTAGACCATTGTCTTGTGCCATACACAAAAATTAACTCAAAATGGATTAAAGACTTGACGGTAAGACCTCAAACCATAAAACTCCTAGAAGAAAATATAGGCAATACACTCTTTGACATCGATTTTAGCAGCATCGTTTCGAATACCATGTATGCTCAGGCAAGGGAAACAAAAGAAAAAATAATCAAATGGGACTACACCAGACTAAAGAGCTTCTGCAAGGCAAAGGAAACCATGAAGAAAACGAAAAGACAAACTACCACCTGGGAGAAAAAACTTGCAAATCATATATCTGACAAGGGAGATATCTCCAAAATGTATAAAGAACTCGTACAACTCAACAACAAAAAAACCAAACAACCTGATCAAAAAATGGGCAAAGGATATGAACAGACATTTTTCTAAAGAATATATACAGATGGCCACAGGCACAGGAAAGGATGTTCAACATCGCTAGTTATTAGGGAAATGCAAATCAAAACTACAATGAGATATTACCTTATGCCTGTCAGAATTGGTATAATTACCAAGACAAAAAATAACAAATGTTGGAGAGGATGTGGAGAAAAGGGAACCGTCATACACTGCCGGTAGGAGTGCAAAGTGGTGCAGCCGCTATGGAAAACGGTATGGAAATTTCTCAAAAAATTAAAAATAGAAATATATGATCCAGCTATCCCACTACTGGGTATTTATCTAAAGAACATGAAATCAACAATTCAAAGAAATTTATGCACCCCTATGTTCATTGCAGCACTATTCACAATGGCCAAGACCTGGAAGCAACCCAAGTGCCCATCAACTGATGAATGGATAAAGAAGATGTGGTATATGTATACAATGGAATACTACTCAGCCATAAAAAAAGACAAAATCGTCCCATTTGCAACAACATGGATGGACCCTGAGGGTATTATGTTAAGCGAAATAAGCCAGACAAACACTATGATTTCACTTATATGTGGAAGATAAACTCATGGATAAAGAGAACAGATTAGTGGTTACCAGAGGAGAAGGGGGTTGGGGAGAGTGAGTGAAAGGGGTAAAGAGGCACATATGTATGGTGATGGATAAAAATTAGACTATTGGTGGTGAGCATGATATAGTCTATACAGAAACTGCTATATAATAATGTACACCTGAAATTACACAATGTTATAAACCAATATGACTTCAATAAAGTAATTGGAAAAAAAAAAAGGTTTGACAAGAGGGCTTTGGGAGCTGATGAGAGGCATACCTTTGGAGACTTGGAGTGCTTCTGGAGAAGGTGACATTTGAACTGAATCTCGAGAGATGGCTAGGATTTGGATTTGTAGAGAAACGAGAGATGGGCATTCCAGTAGGTAGAAACAATAAGTGACCAAGAAAATAAACCTTGTGGTATGCATTAGGATTTTCCACCCAATATTTCTCTTTGTTCTCCCAGGCACATATTATGATTGCGTGTCCTTGCCCCTTGAAAGTTAGATATTGCCATGTGAGTTGCTTTGACCAATGATAATGTGAATTGAAGTGATATGAGTCACTTAAGGTTTAAGAGTCTATGCATTCACATTGCTTTCTTTTCCTCTTACAGTGACCTGAGTGCTCTGGCATGTGGGGCAAATATGGTCTGCTGCCTGTATTTGTAAATGAAAGTTTTACTGGGACATAGCCGTACTCATTTCTTTATGTATTATCTATGGCTGCTTTTGCACTACAACAGCAAAGTTGAAGAGTCGTGACAGAGACCATATGCTCCACAAAGCTGAAAACATTTAGTATCTGGCTATTTACGGAAAAATCTGGCTGAAAACTGCCCTAGATGTTGGCTGCTTTTTAGAGTGAGGACGTTGTAGAGTAGAGCCTCCTGTTGACCCACAAAGGGCATATACCATCCGCAAGAGTAAATCTTGGTTGTTTTAAGCCAGTGATATTTTGAGGTTGTTTGTTACAGTAGCATAATCTGGCCCTTCCTGACAGTCAGGCTGTTTATAGGATAAAAAAAATTCACTTTGCTTGGAGAGGAGTAAACCTTACGGAGAGGAGTAGCGTGAAGAAAAGATGGATAGGAATGTTAGGGTAATATTGTGCAAGTACTAGACTGTTCGGCTCAGGTGTTTAGATTTTATTTAGAATCCTCAATGTGGAATCAGGATTTGGGATTTTTTTCAAGGCACAGAAGAAGAGTAAGGCGAAAGCTACATGATGAAAAGATTAATCTGTCAATAGTTATAGAAGCGCTGGGAGAAGTAATTGAATTAGGAATTT